CTTAAAATTATACTACAAAGCTAGAATAATCAGAATAGTATAGTATTGGCAGAAAAAACACATAGAACAATGTAACTGATTGAGAGTCAAGAAATAAACCCACATATATATGGGCAAATAATTTTTGACAAAGGAGCTAAAAGCATATAATGGAGAAAAGAAAGCCTCTTCAATAACTGGTGCTGGGAAAATTGGAAAGCCACATGCAAAAGAATTCAACTATACTGCTGTCACTATACATCAAAATTAACTCAAAATGGATCAAAGACCTAAATATAAGACCTGAAACAATAAAAATACATAGAAGAAAATATAGGTACTAAAATCATGACCCTTAGTCTTACAGGGAATATTTTATGAAGTTGACTCTAAAGGCCAGGGAAGCAGAAGCAAAGATAAATGAAGGGGACAACATTAAATTAAAACCCTTGTGCACAACAAAAGAAACCATCGACAAAATAAAAATGCAACCAACCGAATGGGAGAAGAGATTTGCAGATCATACCTCCAAAAAAGGGCTAATATTTAAAATATGTAAAGAACTATGTAGCAACAACAAAAAACAAACAATTCAATTAAAAAATGAGTAGCGGGAAAGAGAAAAAAATGGTGTAGATGATAGAGGCTCTGTTCATCCCTCTGGCAACCAAATCAAAGTTGTGACAAAAATAAGGGGCGAAGAATAAAGAAAATCGCCTGGGAGCTAGAGGAACAAGCTCTACAACTAGGGAGAGAAATAAGAAATTACCTTGCAATGGGAGGAGGTAGGACAGGGCGAGGATGCAAGGCTGCCCTGTCCAACTGGGTGAGTGGGACAGAGGAAGCCAGAAGCTGCAAATGCCTCTTAAAGGGGCCAAGTCCGCGAGCGAACTTTCGAGCCAACGGACTCACTCGTTCTGAGCACCAGCACCAGGTCAGCTGCTCAGGGAGGCGCCAGGGACTTACAGAGAGATAATGAGTTGTCAAAGTGAGGGTCAGAGGGGAGGATCTCCGCCAGACAGAAGTGCTGGTGGTATCTATTGTTTCTCTATTGAGTCCTCCCCCATCCCAGTGTGCAGACACAGCTCCACCATAGCGGAGACATCATCAAACTGTGGAACAGAGGTCGTTCCACCCAGAGGATTCCCTGAAACTCCACCTCCCCCAACTTGCGGCCCCACCCAAGCCACATCCAGGTATGTCCTCGCTTAGTCAGGTGTCCCTTGCTGAGCAGTGCCTGGACACATACTGGTGGCAGCTGACCTCAGTTTCTGGTGTGGCCTTTTGAGGCAACTATAAGCACAGCATCTGTGGATTGCTTGCTGAATCTTAACAGGCAGCCCTAGAGGGGCACAGGTTGGGGCTAAATTTGACCTGCAGCTGACCCCTCTCAGAACTGTGCCACTGGTCACCTACCACACAAAGCCATACTAATAAGACTGGGAAACTTAAGAGCTTTGCTTAGTACATAGAAACAGACACAGAAATGCAGCCAAAATGGGAAGACAAAGAAGCAGAAACCATATGAGAGACCAGAACAAAGATCCAGATACAATGGAATCAAGTAATCTAACAGATGCAGAGTTCAAAACACTGGTTATAAAGATGCTCAATGAACTTATGAGAAGTGTAGATGAATTCAGTGAGAACTTCAACAAAGACACAAAAAGCATAAAAATGGAAATGGAAATTACAAAAGGGAACCAGTCAGAAATGAAGAACACGTTATCTGAAGAGTATGAAGAGTATATTAAATGGGATAAATAGTGGATAAATAAGAGGAACAAACCACCAATACAGAGGATGGGGAAGCCAAGACACGCAATCAGAATAGCAAGAAAAAAGTAACCAAGAAAATAATAATAATTTAAGGAGCCTATGGGACACTATTAAAGGTAAAAATATCTCTGTCATAGGGGTATCTGAAGGAAAACAAGATGTTGAAGAGCTATTTGAAATGCTAGAAAACTTCCCTAACCTGGTGAATGAAATAGACATAAAACCCCAGGAAGCTCAGAGAGTCCCCAAAACCAGGAACCCAAAGAGGCCCACACCAAGACACATCATAATTAAAATGCCAAAGGTTAACTACAAAGAGAGGATCTTAAAAACAGCAAGAGAAAAAAAAAAGCAGTTAGTTATCTATAAGGGAGCACCCATAAGACTGGCAGTTGATTTTTCAAAAGAAACAAACCATGCAGGACATAAGAGCTTGGCACAAAATATTCAACATGATGAAAACCCAGGATCTACAACCAAGAATACTTTATCCAGCAAAGCTATCATTTAGAATTGAAAGACAGATAAAGAGCTTCCCAGACAAAAATAAGCTAAAGAAATATATCATCACCAAGCCAGTATTACAGGAAATGTTGGAGAGACTTCTTTAAGAAGAACATGTATCAAAAACAGGAATAAAGAATGGTAATAACTACATTTCTATCAACAATTACCTCAAATGGAAAAGAATTAAGTTCTCCCACCAAAACACTTCAGATGGAAGGACACACACAGACTAAAAGGGGATGGAAAAAAGATATTGCCTTGATGGACCTAGAAGGTATTGCGCTGAATGAAATGGATCAGATAGAGAAAGACAAATATCACATGATTTCATGTACATGTGGAATCTAAAGAACAAAATCAATAACAACAAAAGCAGAAATAAACTCAGAGATAGAGATTATTTAGAGGGATACTAGATGGGAGGGTGGTTAGGGGGACAAAAAAAAGGCAAAGGGATTAAGAGGTACATATGGATAGAAAGTTGCAGAACAGACATGGAGATACAGAGTGTAGCATGGGGAAGATGGTGTAATAAAGATGTAAGGGTGAAGATTGGTACTAGATTTAGTGGAGTGATCACTCTGCGAGTTATGTGGATCTCTGATGACTATGCTATACAACTGAAAATGGTGTATTATTGTATGCCAACTATAACTGAAAAAAAACCATTGAACTACACAATGTAAATACAAGCAACTAATTGTCTATTTCAATAAATACGAAAAAAAAAGAGCTATGGAGAAAAGTAAACTAGGATAAGAGTAATAGAAAGTGTGTTAGTTGAGATGCTATTTTATATAGGGTGGTCAAGAAAGTTTTTTCCAATTTGGAGACACATGAGGAAAGTCTTGAAGAACTGAAGGAGTAAGTGATGCAGATAACAGGAGTAAGAAAATTCTAGGCAGGGAAATCAGCAAGCTCAAATGCAGAGGGGGCAGAATTAAGTTACAAGAAAAGTTATAGAAGTCAGAGAGGTAACGGAGAGCCAGATCACATGTGACTATTTAAAGCACTTATAAAAACTTTGGTTTTTATTCTGAGTAAGATGGAAAGTCACAGGAAGTTTTAAGTCAAGGAGTGACATAATCTGACTTACAATTTGGAAAACTCACTTTGGCTGCTATGTTAAAAAGGAATTTTAGGTAGGCTATGAAGGAAGTAGGGAGACTAGTTAGTAGGCTATTGCAACAGATCAAATGAGAGAGGACTGTGGCCTAGATATAATCCAGATGAACTTCCACATGCAAAGCTTCCAACTTCTGAGTCCCCCCTCACTCACCTAGGCACATCTTTCTCTCCACTACCTGGAACTGCCTCTTTGCTCCCAATAATAAAGTCTAGCTAGAATTCCAAATTGTAGATGTTTTATAATCTAATTAATTGCTGTATGAAATTTAGAATGTTGAACATTGCCTGTGTACATGATGTCTGTCAATAATGTTCAATTATCTTACCTTCCTCCCTTTGCTCCTTCCCCATCGCCACCTTTACCAGAGCAACATGGGAGCACAGGTGTGTGGAGAAGAAAATCTCTGCCCTATCAGAGGAAGTATTCATGGTTGTGGTCAACTACTAGGTAGAAGACAAAATGCTAAATCCTGTTCAGAGGGATTTCTTTAGGGATGTGATAAAAAAGAAGGAGCCTAATTCTGCTCAGAACAGTTTTCCCCTATTATTCATAATCTGCTTAGGACATTTCTTTTCCTACATGGGAATCTCCAGTGAGCTTCTGAAGAGCTTGACTCTAAGAATTGGTTTGACATTTAATGAGCTTCAAACTAACACAGTTCTCAAGCTCCATTATTGTGAGGACCTCGCATTCTTTTGGCCCTTTTACAAATACTTCTCCACCTAAAAAATAGAGGAGAAATTTAAATATAACAATTTCTGGAATATTTATATTTATTTTACTATTGCTTAATGTTAGTCATAATGAAAATGCATATGCTCTCATAGTTTTAATTAGCTGCATAAAATGTCATCTTATAGTGGGATTTATTTAAAATTTCCCCATTTATGAAAACTAATTTTGTATATTATTATCTCAAGGGTTGTCCCAAGGTATTATAGTCTCTATTTTTAAATCGATCCATGGTTCAACCTTTTTTATAACCCTTAATGAATATCATTAGTCTTCCTTCCCTTTAGAAATCTAGTGATATAGTCCAAAGATTCCAGATTGAGAATCCTAATGAGGATGATTTGAGCATTTAATTCAAAATAGACCAAGAAACTGGTACAAGTGTTTACTCAGATTACTTGGCAAATCCTTGGTCCAACTGGTATAGCACTCTTTGATCAAGCCTCTTATCTTACTCCAAAAATACTGGCAAAGTGAATGAACTTATTACCTACTTGAACTAAGATTAACCAACACCATTCTATAAACTGCATGGTTTTTAATACCAGGACTGTGATGTGTGATGGTACATATGCACTAACCTTATTTTCAACAATTTAGTTGTTATGATAAAAGTTCTAATATTTGCCTCACTAGGCAAGCAGAGATCATAGAGGAGACTTGGCACACAAGAAAAAACTTGTCAAAATAATACTAACATGGCGGTGATAGAAAGGAAACTGGGCCCAAAGTCCCCATTATGTATCCAAATGGGAAGTACTAAGGACAAGGTCCCTTAAATGGAATTTTGACCATTGGGAATCGTCAGAAAAGGAAAAAAGTAATGCCCTGAAAAACAAGATTTCAGGGAAGAAAAAAAAAAAAACCAAAGCAC